GAAACGTTAGCAGTAGCTAACGAGGGGTGACAGCATGAAAGGAATAACAATCGTTGGCCAAAAACATTCGTAGAAATAAGACCTACAGAACAGGTGCAGGCTGTCGTGTCAGCCCGAACAATAGCCATCACTTCGTGAATGACACGACGCGATTGGTCCAAATGGTCCAGTCTTTTGACTAGCAGTGTAGTACGTACAGGCTACAAAACGAACAGAAGAGAATGGATGACAGTCGACGCATTTTTTGGCATATCCACAACGATGATAAGCGGATGAATGATAAATGGATGAAAGATTTCAAGCGGTTCACGGGAAACTGCAGCCGTAAAACACACAAGATTCTGAATGGTAATAACCCTCGCAAGTTTGGACATGAGCACATCAGAACATGATGCTGCTACCGTTGTTCGTAGGCCAACGACTCGCCAAATGTGTCAATCTGGTGAATCCTTGCTCAAGGAAAGAATCAACTGCGGAAAAACCAGTCTTGAAACGGGCACTTCTAAAGTGCGAATGAGCAATAACTCATATTACTTATCCACTTCATCACTCCACGCTAACAATTGGTTAATCTAGAATGACCTTTAGTAACAGATGCAGAAATGGCATGGCATCACTAACCTTGTCCCTGCGCATCGTAAGCGTGAGACCATCGATGTCGAAGTCGAAGTCGTGAAACCTACTGGTACCCAGCTGCGCCTTCACCTTGGCAAAAGACAAGCCCCGGGTGCTACTCGAAGAGCAGTTGTCGGCGGTAGAGTTCCACTTTTCCAGCACATAATTGTGTTTGGCAATCAGATAGTTGCCGGCGCACTCCTGCTGCAGCATCGATACCCAACGCATTAGCGTGGCGTGAATCGTCTCGTCCGGTAACATGAGACGTTCTAAAACGAAAAGGCACATGGATAAACAGAATCAGTCGACGTGCTGCTCACGTCACAAACAAGTACCAAGCTCGCCGTTGCACACAACCTCGAATATACCAATATCTTCGGTCGCCGAAAAGTGCTTCTTTTCTACCAGGTACTCACACACTTCTTGAGCGGTAAGGCTAAGTGTAACCTAAAACGGGCATAGACTAATCACAAAACACCAACATGTCAAAAAACTGAACAGCTTATACCCAATTGTGACAGATTAGCGCTCTTAAATCCCTGTTAAAATGATTAGAGAATTCAAGCCATACCTGAAAAAAGTACGCTGCTTACATGCTGAAAGAAACGGCTTTGAATTCTACAGAAGTTTCGTTAGTAACTAACTGTGATTTAACTTAGCTACCTGATGAACACTGATGACGTTCAGCATGAATACATAGGTCTTACAAAAAAACAGTGATTTCAGGGATCACGTCGAAGTTATGAAAATAACGACAGCAATGTTGAGCAGATATCCCCATAAACTTACAGGGCACCTTGACACAATACATATCTGATGCTAATGCCAACTAAAAGTCAAACACGCTATAAAAAATAAAAACGACTTGAAGCAATTCAAATCTATTGATCAGCAATTTCGCTACAAGGGTGTACATCAGTCATCCAGTGCCCCTCCAAGATTTGGCCATAACCTTCCCTTTTCTTATCCACCTTGATCCAACGAACAACCTCTGCTTATATTACCATTCATCTGAAGGTCTATAACTAAGATATGTACTCTCTCTCTCTCTCTCGCAACCTGGCCTAATGTCTCTCCGGTACAGCGACTGTCACTTCTTCTTGTATCCTGCTCAATGCCATTTTTACTTCTTTACTTGTACAATGACATCAATTACAATCATATTTTAACAGAAACGCTGCATGGACACAAAATACAAGCACCTGTTGGGTCGAACAAACGAACTTGTTGAATTTGCAGGTGCTAGAATACCATGTAGCCGTGACTTGCTTAAACAGTCCCGCAGAAAATAGGGAATGGTGCGACTACGACAACTAACAAGGAACTGGCAGGAAATTGTTATTCTTGTATTTTTGCCATTAAAAAATTAGCAGGTTGCTAGTGAACTTATCATGAGGTTCATTTTTAGTGGAAGAAAGTAGATTAAGGCATAGCAACGATGTAAAACTAAGAAGAGAATAGAACGCAATCCGCAATTACTTATTTTCCAGGGTAGTGCTGGTTTATTTAGCGAAAAACAACCCGAAAACAACACTGATCGTACAACTGAGAAGAAACTGATAAAAAAACTTACATTTATATTCAGCGGACTTTTATCCTTTTCAGCCACATGCAGGTGATGAAGAATTCCGCTTTCTAGTTTCTATAATAAAAAATAAAATAAAAAAGTGGCCTTTTGAAGACGATTCTCATTAACTACGAATGAAAAAGATATGAAAACAGAAAAGGGTGTAAATCACTTGTGAGGGCCATAGGCGTAAAGAAGTGGGGACTATAAAAATCATAAAATTTAAACAGTGGTATTTATTTACTGTTTTAGAACCATATTTATCAAATATTTAAATTCACCCTTTACCAGAATGACAAATGCAGTCGTCTGCACCAAAAGGAAGCATATTATGTACAGCACTAAGATATGAAAGATAAAACATGCGCATAAAAAGCTTAGTTCAGACCTCGTCGTCGGTTTGTATTTTGGTACCTTTACGCTTCTGGCAGGATTTGCCAACAGTTCTCGGGCAGTCGTTATATCCTGATCGATTTTGGCCTCAGCTTCAGTCACGCAAAATAGCTTATCGTAACTATTAATAAAATCAGCCATGATTGTGAACAACTGGATCGTATCATCGAAATTGAGCAGTTGACCAGAGCTCTAAACTGGCATACATGTACACAAAAAACAAATTCGTTTCAACGGAACAAACACAATAAATCAAAATAGAACACGTTAAAAAGGACAATGGGTACAATGGCAGTGGTAGATGCTGCACCTGCCAGTAACAGGAATTCGACATTCGAAGCATTTTTTCATGGAGCTTTCGTGCAAATCTCATCGCCACTTCCTTCGGTAAAAGGGGGACTCACCAAACTGTAATCCAGTGTAACTGAATGAAAACTTACAAATGGAGCGACACTGTGATAAATTCTGGAACAGTCATACTTAACCTGATCAGTGGAAGGTGTAAGCGTAAATTTAAAAAATGAATTTATTACAGACTCTACCGTTGCCGCTACCAAGTCTGGAGGGTCATTCAGAAAATGGCGAGGTCAAATGTTAACCTTTACATCTATCTACCATGGTATTGACGACATCAAACAATATATAGATTCGGTCGTCGCCAGGATTACCAAAGTCAGTGCATGCTGTAGAGAAACTGAGACAGACGGCAAAAATTCAGCGATCAGGATACGCTTATATTTCAGCAGATAGGGGCGAAGCAGCTCTGCAATAGCTGCCGAAGATCTACACAAAGGTGACTAAAATACCAGTAAGCAACGGAGTCGGAACCTGTCCTGAACTGCAGACAGAGAAAACACGATCATTCTGAGAGAGATAAGTCTATATAGGAAAATACCGCCTAACTTAGGATGCTATGTAACGGACGTTCGAGTTAAGAGAAGCGCAGAGCTGTCAATTGATTATCACCTTATTGTTGGCGTCCCCTACTGCAAACGATGAAACGATAGAGTCAAATTCGAAGACCTGGTGGCAGAATCAACCAGAAAATCAAACGGGAAACATTAAGTTCAGCGGATGAGTGCGAAATTAGCAAACAACATCGCACGACGGTCTGAACAGATCCCAGTGAGAACCACTGATTGCAAACAGTGGAAGCTCTTTAAGAGCGGCTTACTCAGGGATAATGCGGAATGCTATGGTTTAAACGCGTTGGAATGATATCTGGACGAAAAAAAACAAACTTCTTGGTAGACGCCAGAGGTTCAACAGGATGTCAGCTAAAATAATGCTGTACTCAAGAGGCAGTTTGGAAGAAAAGAGGCTTCAATTCAAATGCGGCACGAAGTAGCACGCAAGATGACAGCTCAAGCGGCAATGGCTACATAGAAGGCTAATTCATGGGAAAAGTTCATCTAGGTCTTCGAGTCCAGTTTGCAGACGGCAAACAATGTACCATGGAAGACCATCCGCCGCCTCTGAAATAGAAATAGGGGCAGTATATAAGTCCCGACGAACAAATAAGGGCATTTTCATACGAACGAAAAACCTATGGACAGAGCGCTGAGAAATTTCCCAATACCTAGCAAGCGCAGAAGACCCGCCTGAGAAGGATCATGAAATGAATATCAATGTTTCAACAAATGAACCTGCAGAAGGTGTAAGTGTAAAAGTGGTAAGAATGCTTGGAGGAATGAAATCCACTCTAAGACGCTTCAGTGTTCACGTTAGGTGAACAAGACATATTGTTGGTAACAAGTGCCTGTCAAACGGCAATGACAACAGGGCAGACAGTAACAAACTAGAGAACTGGAATGTTAGTGCGCTAGATAAAAACGGGAGATCATATAGAGTGCATAAATTATTAGAGCACCAGCTCATTGAGCCTCCCGGGTAAAGTCTACGTAAAAGTGCTAGAAAGGTGGCAGAATAACTGTCTCTAAAATACAATAGCAATTTCAGGTCAGACGAAGTACAACATACCAGATCTAACGCCAGATCTGAGAATTCGTGGAACGTAGCTCATCGGGCTTACATCTGCTTTGCCGACCTGGAGAACGTCTATGACAAGATACCAGGGAGTAATTCATGGGCGTTCCTGTAGGGTGACGGCCAGTTGTTATCAGCCACCAAATCACTCTGTGCTGATAGTAGATGGTGGCAAGTTGAAACCTCTAAATCT